GTTAAAATGTGTCGAGAGGAGGACACTTGGAATGCCGTCAGTAAGGAATGGGTTTTAGTGGAGCTGTACTAGGCAACTAGTGGATACCACACCGTGCCAACTTCACTACAGGCTAGGCTTCTTGAAGCTTTCCTAAACCTTACTATAAAAAAAAAGAAAAAAAACACATGCATAACGTACATAATTTTCAACTAGCCCCTCAACCCCCCTTCCCCTGCTTTGATTTTGCCACCACAGCACATTTAATTCTCGAAAAATGTCATTATTGAGCTAAACAATCAATAAAATACGAATACGACTGTACAAAACAGTCCACCTCAACCAAAACTAATTGAATCATATAGGCTGACAAAATCGGGTCAAAAAGCTGACAAAATCGGGGGCTGACAAAATTGGGGGTAGACAAAATCGGGGGCTGACAAAATCGGGTCACCACTGTATTAATATTCACATTGACAAAGTTGATGTACTTAATGAACGTTTTTAAAATTTGATTTCTTCTCGCTGTTGTCATGTTACCCAAGATTGGCCGTACAAGATCGTCGAAGCTCAGCCTCTGCCAGCCGCCGAGCGTCGTCGTCAATTTTCGCTGGATGTGTGCCCAAGCTGCAGCAACTCGAGGGCATTCGCAAAACTTATGTTGCAAAGTCTCGATTCCTACCGCACAGTGCTGACAGTTTGGGTCGTTTGCACGGCCGATGACGTTCATCAGTCTACGGTGCTCTGTCTTCTCGTTCACTAGCAGGTAGAGATCAGTACGCTGGCTCGACGATAGCCTTCTCGATGATATGTTCATCCAGATCTTTTTCCAATTGATGCCTGGATGGTTTCGTTCTACTCTGGGTAGCTCAGTTTGTTCCAAGTAGAAACGATGGATTTGACCGCTGGAGGGGTTTTGTTGGATGTGGTGTGGAAATAAGGGAATTTGCTGTGAGAGAAGTTTTAGGCAAGGAAGATCGGCGGGGGGAGGAATATTTTGGGCGAGAAGGGACTGATAATACGGAAGGGAAACGATCTCCTGCAGGTGACGATTGACTAGAAGTGCTTTGCAGTTGCAGTTTCAATCCACCCTGCTCTCTGCTGCGCGCCAACTGCTGCATTGGGACTCGTGCGGGTAGCCCACAAAAAAGGAAAGTCCCCATCGTTGATGTCAGCTTCGCCGTGTGAGCACATTGCGGTGGAATAACAGACAAGAGGTACCACACCTTCGCTGTAATGAAGATGTTCAGCAGTAGCACTTTCTGCTGCAGGGAAAGGGAGCGCATGTTATGCAACCACATGAGTTGCGAGATCCTCGATACTAAAGCGTCCCAGTTTAGTTTTACCATCAGTCGCACTGAGTTGGTAAAAATAACGCCCAGTACCTTGACATTCTCCTTTGTCTGCAGCCCTGGTATCGTCAGTGGATCTCCATCGATCGCCACTGTTTTAAGCCGATTTAGCTTTGCCCCGGATACGATCTCGAAGCTACCAAATAGCTGATAAATACGGTCGATCGTGTGTTTTGAGGTGACAATCACCGTGATGTCATCAGCATACGCAACGCAAAGGTCACCAGATTCATATTTAACTAACCAACACAATAGTGCCATCGGCGAATTCAGATGGGAGCTCATTCGTCATAGTCTCATTAATAACGAAGTAGAGCTCTCGATAGATGACGTCGAAAGTTCGTAGGTAGAACTCTACCGGCAAACCATCGATCCCCGGTGATTTACGTTTTTGCGACGTTCGGATGGAGTTTTTCAACTCGTCAATGCTGATCTCTGCCATAAGAGCTGCGTTGGCTTCGTCGTTCTCGGGTACTGCTCTCTCAGTTTCGAACATTTCTTCCCCCACCTGCCTCATCTCTTCCGCCGCATACAGGTCCCTGAAGTATCGAAACATGTGTTGCTCGATCTCCAGAGAGCCTTGTATTTGCTCTCCTCTGCAGTCCTGTTATGGTTGTTTTTTTACGTCGTCTATCACCCAACAAAGTGGATATGCTCTCGCCGGCTATAAACGTCTCGTTGATGCGGATGAAGTTTTGCTAAAATTGCCGCTGCAACGTGAGCATTTGTGCTTTTACGCGGTTGATGGTCACCAGCATGGTGGGATTCTGGTAATAGCCATCATATGCGAGTGTTAATTGCTCGTAGAGTCGTTGTTGTTCTGCGTTGAAAGTCCTGAAAACTTCACTTGACTTCCATCGGAAAAAAGATTTTATTTTTGGCTTCGCGCATGAGAGCCACATCCAGCTGGGGAAATTTCTCCGTTGGCGGGTCCAAAACTGCCATCGCACTTGGAATTCCTCTAAGTTCTCGGCGGTTAAGAGGTGAGGGCGGAGGGACCAGTAACCGCGTCCTTGTTCGCGGCCAAGGTGGGGAAGGCAAATGCGCGCTGTTAGCGCTTTGTGATCCGTGAATAAGCATACTTGCGTGGCAGCACTCCGCAGATGCTCGCAAAGCCCAGCGCTGACATACATGCGGTCGAGCCTGGATGCCGCATTGTGTGTGATGTACGTGGGTGCGGGGGTTGTGGGGTACAATTTCAGCCACAGATCGTGAAGCTGTAGCTGCCGTACGGTCGCTTGGAGAGCCGGGCTTGTGTTGGAACTCGTTGAGTCGCTCGGACGTAGCACGCAGTTAAAATCTCCAGCGAGGATAACGTTTTGAGTGTTGTACCGAAGGTAGTACGCGATCGTGCCGTTGAAAAATCTTTCTCTTTCCGCACGAACAACTGTCCCCGATGGCACATATACGTTGCAGATCGTCGTGTTTTGCACCCTCAAAGCGATGAGACGACCTTCCAGGCTCTTCCCACATGCGAGAATTGTATGTGGTCTTTCAGCGCGATTGCCGTTCCCCGCCTTGCTTGGTCCACATTGCAGATAACGTTGAAGCCAGGGATAGAGAGTTGCTCATTCTCCACCTCCTGGAGGAAAACGATATCCAGTTCCAGTGTTCGTACAAAGGTTCGAAGAGCGTCAATCTTCGTTGCGTTCGTAATATTGTTGATGTTGATGGTGGCGAGGTTGTAACTGGAGAACTCAGCCATTAGGACGGTTGGTTACTCCCATCTCGCTTGTCGTCGCAGTCGTCATTCACGCGAGGCTTCTTGCCTGGTGGTCGAGTGCGGAGGTGTCTTCTGGAGCTGGATGACCCTACAGACGAATCTGTTTCGTTTCCATCGGACTTACCACTAGCAGTTTTGCGATCCACTCCGCCGCTAGCGGGGGGTTGTTGACTTGTATAGGGAGTCAACGACCCGCTGTCCGATGGGGGAATCGAAGCCGAGGTAGGGGCTAACGTGGGGAAATTCTGTTCGGTCAGAACTGGTGGTAACAGCTTCTGTTGTTGACGTTGGGGAATTTGTTTCGGTGGTGGCATGGTAAAAGCTTTGGCCGAGATTGGTTCGAACCGAGGCCGGGAAGCTTGGTTCGAGATCGTTTTAGTTAGGTTCGCATTGGGAGCGGTTTGGTTTGAGTTTGTGTTGGTTTGGTTCGCACTATAGTCGACTGGACTCGTTTTTTGCGACGGCGTCTGCTTTGCGGCATCGGCGTATGATGAACAAAAAGTTGAGATTTCTCATAGTAATTTACATGTAAACTTCAAATGGCTTGTGCGAAGTCTGTTATATGTCATATGGTTAGATATAAGTTGTAACTTTGGGATGCTAATCAGGACCCGATTTGAAACCATTTAAGTATTTTTTTTAAGTTGATAAGGCTAACATCATTGGGGCTTCATCCAGCCTGTTGATGTAAAACAACAATAAACAATAAACAATAAACAACAATAAACAATAAACGAACGCAAGGTTGAAAATACTCATTTCAGCTAAAATGATGTTTTGCCGAATAATAAAACCAAAAGATGGTATGATGGCATGTTTTACTTGTAACTTACAAGAAGAGGTTTGAAAGTATGCGTTCTGAAACGTAAAACCTGTAAATTTTGCTTTCTATAAGTGGCAATCAGCGATTTGCTGATCGCTGAGTGAGTGAGTGAGTGAGTGAGTGTGTGAAAAATTGCTGATTATGACTCTAATGAAGTAAAATAAATAGGTTTAATATGTCAAACACATTCTTTGCAACCTCTTCTTTTATCTTACCAATTCAAAATATGATCATATAGCATCTAATTATTTCATAATCTAAAAAAAAATGTTTTAGCTGAAATAAGTATTTGCAACCTTGAACGAACGTATTTTTCACTATTAAGACCACAATTAAATTATTGACATAAGTAAATAAATGAGCTAGTCATGATTCCATATAATGAGAATCCAAAGTGTGGTGAAAATTTGAGCCCAAAATATTAGGAAATAAAAAATCCCGCCCATGGTGAAAATAGGCCATTTTTTGACAATTTGGATACCTGCCGGTAATCAGCCTGTTTACTGTAGTTACTATAACAAAAACAAAATGTTGGTAAATTTATAAGAATCTAGATTAAAAACCTGCAAATTGACGTTCTAAGATCACGAATAGCTTATTTGGTTGTAGAGTAATCTCTTCTGAAAGATGATTTTTTTTAAATCGCGAAAATCCAGGGTTGTAGCCGAGAGGGATCTAGGCACGTTAGAGCAAAATCAAAAGAGAATGCCAAAATAAGCGTTTTGTACAAGCATGGCTCAAATAGGTGACATCGACCACAGATGGTGTACCCACTTGAGCTGGAATGACCCATACGCCATTTTTTATTTATGCGAGATTCAAAATGGCTGAATTTTAGCTATTAATTATTGCAATTTTGCACAGTTCCATGCAACTCGGAGAAGGTCGGTTCAGTAATTCAATCGCTATTTGGCCTGGAAGTGCTCTATAGGGATAGGGTCAGACAAGCAGGTACAGCCTTGTGAGGGAGAGATAGGTTGTCTTCTATTGTTCCTCAGAAGTTGTGGCGTGGGGCTGATGGTTTTGGGACTATTCAGTTTGGGTGGAGGAGGGGGAGTGGGTTCTAGCACGATTTTCGTACATCTAACATACAAACACGTACACCGCTAAACAACGCACTCACTTTGCCCAGCTGCGCGGGGAGGGCTGTGCTGGTGTTGGAGTTGTTGGTGTTCTGGTCGTCCGACTTGACGTAGATCTGCCAGGTGGCGTCCGAGTGGAAGCTCTTGTCGGCGGCGTAGCACCGCCAGAGACACTGGATCAGCATGGCCGCCGCCGGGATCTGGCGGTTGAAGTGCTTCTGGCGCTGCTTCTGTTGAACTTTGAGCGCAAAGCCGGATCCGAGGATACCCTACATCGGAGGAAAACAAACGGAATGAGAAAAGAAAGGTGTAAATGGAACCAGAACCGACAGACTTACCGCCGGAAGTGCGAAGAACGAGATTGCAAACACGCTGAAACAGGACGCCACTATTTTGCCCATCCACGTCTGCGGTACCGTGTCGCCGTAGCCAATAGTCGTCACGGTGATGACGCCCCACCACAGTGCATCGGCATAGCTGGCAAAGTCCTGCCGCCCGTCCGGACCGGTGACGTCCTTTTCCGCTAGGTACACAAAATACGAGCTAAATATTAGCCCCAGGAAACCAATGTACAGCGTCGTTATCAATTCCTATTTGGGAGAAGAAATTGCATGATTAATGGGTCGATTTGTGTTGCAGGTATGCCTAAAGATCGCCACCAACCTGCCGATGAATGAAAACGACGGATCCGAGCAGCCGCCAGGTGCCACCCTGCCGGTCCACGTGCAGCATCCGGAGGATCTGCAGAAACCGGATGCCTCGGATGGCACTGGTGGCGAACACTTGTCCATTTGAGCCAACTGTCAGCACAACCATCGATGCTACTACTACTATTAAATCTGGAAGTGGAAAGAAAAAGCAGAAACATTCAAGAGCATTAACTTATTATCCTTTGCTACTAAATGGTGGGATAAAGGCAAAAGACTGTTCAAAGCGAGAAGCGTAATTTTCTATTGCATAATGCACATGAATAATACTGCAACGACGCCACCAGCAGATGGTGCACTCTTCCTCAGAACCTTTCGGACGCTAAGAAGTGGTTGGCAGTCCATTAAAATAACAAATGCAAACCAGACTTCTAATATGCATAATTGAGAGCGGTATGCAGTAGGTGCAGTAGTCAACCATGGTAGGACTGTTTGTTCTGCATTATCCAGTTGTGGCTGTGGTGCACTCCCCGGATGCATTTTAAATCGTTTGCTTAGTGCGAGTTCTACGAGCTAATATTAGCTAATATTTTTAAGAGTGAAAGCGTCATGATCGATCAGCGTTTCTCAGGAATTTCTCATAAAGGAAATTGACAATGAAATTTCTGTCCAATTCAAATAAATGCATGGTAATCGATTTTCCATCATTTTTCAGTCCGCATTTACCGAAATGACAGAATCATCCGAACACGAAGCTGCAATGGCGAAATGCATGTTCGTACCGGTTCCAGTATTGGAAACTGTTTTTGCTGGGTTGGGGTAGAGATGAAGGATCTCCGAAAAGCGATATTAAGCGAATTTCCATTTTGCCACTGCAATTTGCAAGATGATAGATGAGCAGCAAAATGAACTGGACTCGGTGTTCCTTCCCTTGATCTGTCTTTCGTTGAACGGCAGCTGCGGTTGAAAAATATAAATTTTCCACTTCTGCCTGCTGCATCCACGTGCTGCAACTAGGGCCAACCTTCAAGTTGAACCTTGTCATATTTTATTATTACGCCCTTGAGAGCATTCGGTTCTCTGCATAGTGCCACGCTCTAATCAGCATTATTTAAGCCACCTTCACATTTCACCTCGCTCACGTTTCCGTCAAGAAATTATAAATAAAATGCAATTTAGGACCCCTCGGGAATAAAGCAGGCAGATGCCAAACAGCAGTAGCAGCAGCAGAGAACCGCTAAACGAGCTAGAACTTTGCGTAATAAAATAAAAGCGGTGTTGGCAACTTCCTCCCCGGAAAAATAAGACGGCAGTCAATGCGGAAATTCAAAACCGCGGTAAATAGAGGTGAGCGCCGGTAGCTATAGGAGGCACCGGAAGAATTACGGTGCGCCATAAAAATTATGGATAATAGGAAGAAACTTTCGGAGAAACTGCTCAGTTGCTGCTGTGAGGGCATTTGTGGGCAGTTGCGTGTAGAAATATAGAAAACTAAAAGCAATGCGACAGAGAGGCGTATTTTCGTATTTATAGTAGAGTTTCGACAGAAGTTTTGTACGTGGTCTGTTTCGAATGTTTACGGAAACATAAAAATAAAGACAACAAAGAGCTATCGAAATGATGATGGTTACAAAACTTGTTCGCGGTGAAGTATGTGAGAGAATTTTTAAAATGCTTGTATCTTTTATCTAATAATTTTTATGAAGTTATGATGTCATTGAAAACACTACCCGATAAACGCATTAAACTATTTTTTTAATTTAGTTTCTCAATTTTCGCATGGATAGACAGATTCCCGCTTGTTTAATCCCGTTGTGAATACTAAATTTAATTTAAATTCTTATATAATATCATACAAGCATTTTTAAACTCCAAACACGATGCCTGCACATTAGACTGATGCAAAATTTGAAATTTTTCTCCACAGTGCTCAAACGGTTCCAAATCGGGCCTTGATTAGCCCTCAAAATTTGAACTCATTTAGTGAGAAACTGACTGGGCACAAACCATTTGAAATTTATATGGGAATTACTATGGAGAAACCATAATTTCGGTTCACATCTATCTTAAAATTCACAAGTTCACTCTACTATAGAAAAAGATAACTGTAAGGAACAAAAATTATTAATGATTCAAATCACTGATGTCTTATGATTCTGTTGAATCAACTGTTCTGCAGGCAACATTGCTAGATAGAGGGGGGCGAAAAAATTAGGGCGTAACAGCTTTTATAAACAATGACTTCTCTCGTTGATTTCTAGGCATTAAAGGCACGCCTACACAAACAAACTACACCATCGGGTAGGGGAACTCTTCTCCTAGTCGATCGTGACGTTGATTTGTCAGGGGCAGCCATGATTTTCGAAAAATTATCGAGAGAAGTTATTGTTTAAAAAAGCTGATTCACCCTAATTCCAGCTCTATCTAGATTGGTGTTTATGGAAAGTAGAATAGAGGACAAAAATCATGGCTACTATGTCACACTGCAGAATAAAGTGTTGCCCACAATAAAATTTCAAATTTTGCATCAGTGTAGGTAAAATGAGTAACGGAAAATTGGAAATGTTTGAAAAATCATTGCTCAACAATTTATCGATAGAGTTTAAATCTATTGATGCCGAATAAATCTTTAAAGTATGACATTTTAAGCAGCATCAGTAGATTTGATATTTGTCAATAAATGGCTGTGATAGGATTTTTAAAACTTTGCACGTTTGCCGTTACACTGGGAAGGAATTTTGAATCCATCATCATGTCGATAGCTCTTATGTTCGCCATGAGAGCCAACTTTTATTCGCGATTAGGTTGCAAGACGAACAATGAAGAACTATCTAATAGCTTAAGGTCTGAGGTCAAGCTTCCAACGGTTAAATTCAAAATTGCCGTGTGTAAAAGAGATCCAGCAATCAAGATACGAGAAACGCTGACATTGTTGCCAATAATGATCAGTAAACAACTATTATAATAATTACATACAAGTGATATTTGGAATTCCAAAACTAGGTTCACCACATCACTGGCGAATTCCTGGCCCCTCAAAGGAAGTGGCAAGAATCATCCCGATGGTCGCGAAGTGGCCAATATAATCGAATATAATGGCGAATTCATGGCGCCTCAAAGGAAGTGGCAAGAATCATCCCGATAGTAGCGAAGTGACTAATATAATCAATGGTCCATTTCAAGACATTAAATAGCCTATTAAAGAAAATTCATGTAGATTAGAGTTGTCGAAAAGCATTATTCGGTGAAAAATTGCAATTGTCTCCTGCTGCAGGATCTTACAAGGCATTCCGGTGGTCCCGGAACGGCCAATATGGCCAATGGTCCATTTCAAGTCTATAATTAGCATATTCATGAAAAACCATGAAGTTAGTGCCGTAGAAAATTATGTCTTAGAAAAAAACGGCAATTTTACCCTACTAAAGGTTCCTCAGGGGGCATCCCGGTGGTCCCAAAGTGAAAAACCCGAATTTATCCACGTATGGTGTGATCAGACTCTTCTTACTTATTCAAGTTTATTTATTTTATTGTCATTATCAGTGACCAAGCCCCCCACCCCGTGTCATCCAGTGACGCTACGCCACTGCCTGGGGGTACCCGGAATATATCCGGGTGTAGTCTATTTGGTGAGGCTACCAATCACCTTATCATCGTATTTTAATGTGATTTAATGGGTTTTAATTCAATTCATATTCAAGCTACTTCCCCGGGGTACCCGGATCATGTCCAAGTGTGTCCAATGTGGTCGGAACACTTAACACGACTTGCATTGATCTTATTTTTGAATTCTGTAGTAATTTGATGTGTCGCATGATGGTTTTAATACGTTTTCCGTTAAATCCAGCGTGAAGGCCCATATTCACTGGATCTTATTCCGGCCATATCTTCGGAACCGGTTCACCTATTCCAAAACCGTTCAATAGCGTTCAATGGGACCCCAAGACCTATCATTTGGCGCCGAGTTTGTCCAAATCGGTTGAGCGGTTGCTGAGAAACGTGAGCGCATTAATTTCGTTACACACACATACACACATACACACATACACACATACACACATACACACACACACACAGACATGTTTCGATCTCGTCAAGCTGAGTCGAATGGTATATGATGGTTTTGATACGTATTCCGTTAAATCCAGCGTGAAGGCCCATATTCACCGGATCTTATTCCAGCCATATCTCCGGAACCGGTTCACCGATTCCAAAACCGTTCAATAGCGTTCAATGGGACCCCAAGACCTATCATTTGGCGCCGAGTTTGTCCAAATCGGTTGAGCGGTTGCTGAGAAACGTGAGCGCATTCATTTCGTTACACACACATACACACATACACACATACACACATACACACACACATACACACACACAGACTTGTTTCGATCTCGTCAAGCTGAGTCGAATGGTATATGATGGTTTTGATACGTATTCCGTTAAATCCAGCGTGAAGGCCCATATTCACCGGATCTTATTCCGGCCATATCTCCGGAACCGGTTCACCGATTCCAAAACCGTTCAATAGCGTTCAATGAGACCCCAAGACCTATCATTTGGCGCCAAGTTTGTCCAAATCGGTTGAGTGATTGCTGAGAAACGTGAGCGCATTCAATTCGTTACATACACACACACATACACACATACACACATACACACACACACACAGACATGTTCCGATCTCGTCGAGCTGAGTCGAATGGTATATGACACTCGGCCCTCCGGGCCTCGGATCGATAGTCGGTTTTTCAAGTGATATCTATACCCTTCTTTGTAAGAAGGGTAAAAAGGTCAATGGTCCATTTCAAGACTAAAAAATGGCCTCTTAATGACAATCCAAGAAGATAGAGTTGTCGAAAGGCATGTATCTGTGAAATACTACAATTGCTCCTACTACAGATTCCTCCGGGGGAATTGCGGTGGTCCTGGAACGACAAATATGGTCAATGGCAAATTTCAAGACTATCAATAGCATATTCATAAAAACCCATAAAGATATAGCCATCGAAAGGAATGTTTTGCTGAAACACTGCAATTGTCCGGTACTACTGTGAATGGTCCATTTCATGTGTTTTAATAGCCTATTCATGAAAAACCATGAAGATAGAACCGTCAAAATGCATCTTTTTTAAGAAAAAAAATAATCAATTTTTGACGTAGGGGTAATCAACTCTGCACACTGTGCCAAAACACAG